CTAATTGCAGTCAGTTAGAATTCTTTCTTTGTATTATTGCAGAAAATGGAAATGAAATGAAATGAAATGGGGTTTAACTCCTACTGTTCTGCTCCTACTGGCCTAATGAAGACGGGCATACGCCATACGGTGTGCTATGAGGGAAATTTTGTCCGGGCAGCGGTGCTAGGGCCTACTCTTTTATCATATTTCAACTGCCAAGGCATCTTTTACGTGCACGCCAATGTGTACACAGGACCTCGGTTTTTCGTCCAATACAAACGACTATACGTTGTCCCTTGCCAGGCCCTCGGTCCTGCACCACTGACAATGATGAACCTTCTCGGACAACACAGGGATCCAAGACGGGACCTCCAGGTTAGCGAGTCAATGTCTTAATCACTGAGCCACTGCAGAAAATGAATTGTAAAGTTTGTCTCATATACATGTACATGTAGTTAAAGAATCTTCATTTTAAAAAAAAATATAATGGAGATTCCATAAAAAAAAAAAATCAGTGTGTATTGTCTTGAATAATACAAAAAAAGAACTTAACTACGCAATAGAGAGAAAAAGATCCTCTCGACACAAACTAGATCATGGTTCCATTCTATTTCAATAATTCATTTGCACTGTACTGTAGGGAGGGAACTGGAGGACCCAGAGAAAACCTATAAGGTTGAGCAGGCAACCCTGTTCCTTGTCACAGTGAGGCCTAGGATCAGAACCATACCATTTGACTCAATGACAAACCTAATGATCTAAATTGCATGCATTAGACTCCTTGACTACCCAACACCAACCTCTGGTTTAACAGACGGGGTTTGCAATGCATGAAATTTATAGAATAAATTTCAAATAAAATTTAATGTGTTAGGCAGAGCAATTTGCACCTTTTGATATGATGCAGTGCAGAAAGATGAATCATGATTCATCGATTCCTGTTTGTAACAAAAAATAAAAATATGCGGATGTCCTTTGTCTGCACTTCTACAGTAGTTGCACTTCTTTACAAGTTGAAAATCATTCAAGATTTTGCTTCATGTGGGTGGCTGGATTGCCGAATTGTTAGAGCGTGCGCTTTGTATCATAAGGTCTGTCATTGAGTCAACTGACATGGTTTCGTTTCCCCGGTTGTACGTGATGAGAAATAGGGTCGCCTGTCCAACCTCGTGTGTTTCCTCAGGGTCCTCCAGTTTCCTCCTACTGCTAAAGACCCCTAACCATATGTTAGTCCTGAAATTACCTAGTTTGTGTTAAGTGGACATTAAACCCTATTTCTCTCTCTCTCTCTCTCTCTCTCTTCTCTCTCCCTCTCATGTGAAAGTACACGAAAGTACAGGCCTACTGAAAGTTGAACAACAAGACATCCAAATAAAATTAAGGACAAACTGAGGTAGGGAGAAGTGATAGGGAGAAAATGTATCTAGTAAAAGATTGTACTTGAATGTTATCTGAATGGAGAGAGAGTAAATGAAGTTATGTTTTTATGTGTGTTATTAGTAGACTGGAAAATTCAGTTGGAGATACATGTATAAAAGATTTGGTCATGGTTGTGTTCATACTGGTGTTTGTATGAGTGTATTAGGTTACATGGTATGGATGAAATGAAATGAAATGGAGTTTGACATCCTACTTTTGTATTCTGAGCAACGTATCGACTAGGTTTTACATGTTTATATTGTCTTGTTATATTTTATCATTGCTTGATAATGACTAGAGAAGCCTAGTCGAAACGTTGGTCAGTAATAAGCAGTAATTGTATTCTATAGAATTGTGACCTGTATAAATGAAATGGGGTTTAACATCCTACTTTTCTGTACTGATTGGGCTAATGAAGAGAGGCATATGCCATACAGTGTGTTATGATGGAAATTTTGCAATACAGCCCACTCTTATTTCAAATTCCAACTGTCATGGGTTCTTTACATACACAGCAATGTATACACGGGACCTCGGTTTTGCTTTCCATCCGAAGAATAGACACTGTTCCTTGTCAAGCCGTGCGTCCTGCACGGCTTGCATGGGAAACCACTTTTCGGAAATCCTGAGGTATTTTCTAGACTAACACTGGGAGCATACCTGAGACCTTCCAGTTAGCAAGCAAAATCGAAACCTCCTGATTAACAAGCCAGCATCCTACTCAATAAGCCACAGTGGCTGTCATACATGGTATAGCTGGGGTATTTATATTTGTTCATGTAGACTACATGTACATCAAGGGCCGATGTTTATTGTATTGTAATATGGTCTTGAAACAATTTTTCATAAGTTTATACCCCACGCCAACAAACAGCTTTAACATCTGAAATCGATGTTCGGACTATACATGTACATGTAGCTTTATTTTGCAGACAGATCTAGTCTGCTTACTCAATCACCCATACTAAACACTATTTATTTCAGAATTTTAAAGACCTAAAATCTTTGTTGTTCATTTGACTTTAGTATTTCTATATTGAAAAAAAGGGGCAAAGCTGCAAAAGACTAGTTTATTTCCTGTAAATATATAAATATTAATTTTCTGTGTAAGAAGTAAAGTTATTAGAAAGTCTGAGTGGAATGAACGTAACGACTGATCGTGATGTATTGTTAGGATATATCAGTAATTTTCTGTATGTAATATCAATATATGATGTCTCGACCCCGTCTATTCTTCCCGTCTATTCTTCTCGCAAGTCTTATGATTGACAGGTCCTAGAATAGCTCTGTATCACAAAGGTAAGGCTAGAGCAGTCAGTCCATGATGATTACAATGCCGTTTAGACTCTTTGACCTTTCTTCTCCACAGTTTTACAGAACATAGTTTGGGATTACAATATTAAATACAGTTATTAAAGATGCATTATGTAAGAGCTAAATCTGCCTATTAGAGCTCTTTCTTTTGGATTCAAATGTTATATAAATTATTTTTTAGATATTTTTTAACATGACAAGCCTATAATCAACTTTCTAGGCTATTGGATGGTTGGGATTTACATTTAATTAAATATCCACAAGAGTTAAAAAAATTACGATAAATTGGACAATATTGTTGGTGGGAACAAAACATAGTTACATGTACTTGGAGAGAGAGAGAGAGAAAGATTTCATGTACACGGTAGACAACTATGTGTAGGTCATTTCGAGACTAACAATTGCCATCTTTTTATTTTACTTGTTACTTGGTACTGGGTTTAAATGAGTTCTCTCTCTCTCTCTCTCTCTCTGGTTCTTTGGCACAGTGGGAGAAGAAGGAAGAGCTCACATAGGTTGGGGCACAATCTAGACAAATCATCTCTCTCTCTCTCTCTCTCTCTCTCTCACTCACATGTACTTGACAACTGACTATGATCCCTCACTACATGTATGTCAGTAAACAATATAATACATTTCAGTTTGCTAAATACCATGGCATTAATACAGTTATACCGTTGATTAGACAACTGAAGTTTATTCTAGCAAGATAATGTAATGTATTTTCTGCTTGGCCTAATGTACAGTTCCTTAGTGTGTAATGTAGACACAGTAACACTTAGACTGTGGACAGCTTTTTACACGAAGGAGTTTGTATTTACAGTGTCTATAGAACAAAATGCGCTCTTTTTTGTTATCGAGCCCGCCTTTTCTTCTTCAACAAGTGGGAACAAATTGGACAGGCGTTCCACTCCATCGAGAAAAAAGAAATTTTATTTTAACAAGTACATGCCAGCGTGGTTATCCGATATTCACTGACACAACTTATCACATGGCATATGATGTCACTTTGTGTTGGTTTTAAACCCATGTAAAGCATCTTTATAAATCCAAATAATGACTCAAAATTTTAAGTGTAGAATGATCTATTTGAAAACTACGAACTACTTCATATCATTTAGAATTGTTATCTAAAAAAAAATTTTGTAAGCCCTTTCATGTACCCACCAGTGGACTCACTATGTACAGCAGTTGTACCGACCTGCATTTACATTCCATGTACCATATTTAATGTACAAATAAGTTTAGACTGTCTAATAAACAAATTGTATTAGGTATTTTAGAAGATCTTAATTGACTCCATCATGAAGCATTGCTGAGTGACGATTTCAAATTTGTCAACAATATGCATTGGACAGAAATGATCCCAAATATGTAGACGATCAAGCATTGAAAACTAATGTTCCCAGCTGTGCCGACAACCAAGCATTGCACACTGATGATCCCACCATTGCACACTGATGGTCCCCTTTTGTTCCAATAATCAGGCATGTATCCAAACTTGATCCCAGAGTTTACCCATCGTTTGTTTCAGGTAAAACTTGCCGGCCATTTTAAATCGGCAGCATTTCATTCTAGCAAATCCTGCCAATCAGTAGCCACGGGGGGGGTGGAGCTTAACAACTGAATTCACGCTGATGAATGGCTGGCAAGTTTTTCCAGAGATAAACGAAGGGTAAATTTAATGTGCTGACAATCAAGTATCATATATCATACATTAATATTAATGATCGCGAATTTGTCAAAAATCAAGCATTTAAATCATATTACAACTTATATTTTACATATTATTATGCTTTTTGAAAATTGTTAATTGAATTTGCAAGTTGAATATATGACAAGATTTTAAACAGTTGTAAGACTCATAACTATTATAAATGATATAATTTGAACAGTTGTTACTACTGTCAGTGATGTAATTTGAACAAATAATGTAATTTGAACAAATAATGTAATTTGAACAAATAATGTAATTTGAACAAATAATGTAATTTGATCCATTGTAACTACCGTCAGTGATGTAATTTGAACAAATGTAATTTGAACAGTTGTAACTACTGTCAGTGATGTAATTTGAACAGTTGTACATGTAACTACTGTAAATGATGTAATTTGAATAGTTGTAACTACTGTGTACTGTACATGATGTAATTGGACCAGTTATAAATACTGTCAGTGATGTAATTGGAACAGTTATAAATATTGTAAATGATATGATTTGAACAGTTGTAACTACTGTCAGTGATAGTAATATAATATGATATTTATTTATATTTATATTTCAGATTATATGGAAGGATTAGATTGTGGGGACAGTAAACATATAGGTGGAGCCACTGTGTATTCAAATTATCGTAAAAACTCCAATAGTGTATATAGTCATAATATAGAGTGTCAAGTGACGTTTAAAGCAGAAAATGATGATTGGAGATTAATGTTACGAATCATAGAATTAGATATACCTGATAGATCAACTAGCGGTATATGTAACGATGCCCTGTATGTTTACGATGAAAGCTCAATATATACTAGAGCCATGGTACGTATACATTTGATATTTTCCATCACCTTTTCAGTCATAATGGTGGGTTATTTTCCTTTCTGTCATGTCGTCACACTCTTTGCAACAAAATAACTATTTCTTTGTCAGAATCATCCAATCAAATACAAATTAGTGTTGTCGCACTCTTTGAAATGAAATAACATTCAATGAAATCTGTTGTCAGCATCTAAAACTGACAATTTATAGATTGCTTAATCCTAGAAATCTTGTCATGAATATTATTGCTACATGTACCTTTGGCGGAATACATGAAACAAACTGGGGTTTAACGTCTGACGTTTCTGCACCAACTTGATTTATGACCATGGGCATCAAGCCCTTCAGAGTGCTACCTTACATATATTCCAACTGTAGGAGATTTTCAACTGGCTGCCAATGGTACATGTATACACTGTAGGACTTGGGTTTCTGTCCCATTCAATATAACCAGAGACACTTCCTTTGCTAGGCCCTCCGTTCTGCACCAGGCCCTCTGTTCTGCACCAGGTTGTCTGTTCTGCACCGTGTTATCCTGTCAAGAAGAAACCAGGTTGGAAAATCTTGAGGAACATCTCGGCCAACATCGGATTTAAGTGTATACAATGTATATACATATAGTTACAGTGCAGAAAGTATGCAAAAAACACAACACAAATCACCCCATAAACACACACACAAGCAATCTAAGGACACCACATAATAAGGGTTAATATGGTTATATGATAGAGTATAAAAGTGATTTGTTATTACATCTATAGGATATTAATAAACTAATCAACCATAAACCTTTACAACTGATATTCTTATAGATACGATTCTATACACTTCTAATATCTGACAAGCTACACAGAAAATCATCCAGGCGGAAAATGTTATACACTTCATGTTAAATCAGGCGTTCAGTGATTGAAATCTTACTAACTTGGGTAACATCTAACATAGTCCTACACCAGATTATGTTTGGGGTGTATTGTAGTCTGCTTTTGAATAACTGTTATCATTACCTTAGATATGATTTAGCAAGGAGCTGGTCTAAAACTCTAATCACCCAGACAGGTGTTGCCAGATCCTCAGTTTGAGGAGTTAAAGGGGCTCACTGGACTGCAAGTAATCGTTCTGTCTATACCACTGCCTATAATAGTAGTTCTGATAGTACATGTAACTACAGGAACACCACACCACACACATACACGTACATGTAACAACCAACTAGAAACACTGAAGACAAACACTTTGTAAGTAATAAAAAAAAAAAGCTTGGACACAAACACAAATTATGACATTGTAATAAAAACGTTGTGTGATAATTTGTGCCTGACAAAGTCTGTGACAGATGCCTTCTGCGCACCCTTGATTGAAAACACTAATGTTTTTGGTCATTTTATTAGAAAATTCAACCATATGCACATATTCACAGTTCGATCCCAGTGTTGGCTGAACAAGTTGATCAGGATAGTCATTCAGATTGAACCCGTGACACTTGGAATTCAAAATAAGAGTAGACTGTATTGCTGCTGTTTGGGCAAACTTACCCTTGTAGCACCCTGTAAGGCGTATGCCTGTCTTCATTAGCCCAATCAGTACCGAACAGTAGGACAATTTCATTTCATTTACCATCTTACTGTCTACTTGTGTGCATATTTTATTCCCTGGTGATGTCCTGGAGGATTTGGTCATGGCTAAATTTCATTAACCATCTTACTGCCCACTTGCGTGCATATTTTATTCCCTGGAGGTTTTGCTCATGACTAAGTTAACTATTATATCTTACGCACAGTGACCGACAAGGTCAAGATCATTGGTCAGAATAATTATGCTCACTTGGCTTACAGTCTGTGTCAATGTTAAGCTCTCTTGGGTTAAAAGTGCCATGGATTTTAAGCCAGCTCATCATTAGATGTCTTATTGGTAAATAATTTAATCTTGAAATAAGCCTTACATATGTCATCAATAAACCAGCCAAGAAATACTAGTTGTAGTTGAACTTGCAACTGGACAGAGAGGATTATCCCCTCCTCATCTTCTCTAGACAGAGTTTTACCTAGCCTTATTTCCTGGCTAGGTAAAATATATAGTTGTTGGGATGGGATGTTAAACCTGAGGTTCTATGTAAATTGTTGGCATTACGAATAAAGATCCTGTAAAAGTTAAAAATCTAATCAGGAATAGGTTATAGGGTCTCCGCCATTCATATGCCCGTCTTCATTAGCCAATTGGTGTAGAAAAGTAGAACGTTAAACCCCATATATTCAATATCCCTCTCTTCACATGGATAAAACTTTCCTCATAAATGTAAGGGTTCATTTGATGGAGTTTATTTTACCCATGTGTTTGGAGGATACTAAAGTAGGCTACATGTATATTGGTAAAAAATAACTCCATCAAATGAACACTTGCATTCATGAGGACATTTTTATTAATTTTAATGGAGGATACTGGAGTAGGCTACATGTATATTGGTAAAAAAAACAACTCCATCAAATGAGGAAGGTTTGATCATACTGAATATACATGTATGTATGGGGTTTACATGTAATGTCCTACTTTTTTGCATCAACAGGCTAATAAGAGTGAGAGAGATAAATGGGGTTTAACATCCACTCAGAACAGACTAGGTCATTTTGGGACTAACATTTTGTTTAATTTTATTTCAATAATTCTCATGCGCGTAGGGATCTTTAGCAGTGGGAGGAAACTCGAGGACCCGGAGAAAATCCATGAGGTTGGACAGGCAGCCCTACTCTTTGTCTCATACAACTGGGGATTAAAAACCACGCCAGTTGACTCCATAACAGGCTAATGAAGACGGGCATACATGTATGAACGATTCTAAAGTAGGCAATATGTAACATGTGAAGTATTCTAGGACAACAACCACACTACTACAAATTCAGTTATATTTTTATAATTGTATACATGTGCAGAAATGCCAAAACAGAATAATCATGTAGCCTGTGACAGTTTTATGTGTAAATCATATGATATTTACTGTTTTTATGATTCAAAAATATGATAGCATTCATTCGTATTTTATGAAAACATTTTCAAGTGCAAGCAATAAAGAAAGAGATTTTCTAGTGATATGAATTGAGTATGCTGACTGGAATACTAATCTCTATAATAAAATGTAACTTGATATTACTTTTATCTTTATTTCATGTGGTTTTGTTTCAATTAAAACTGGATTTTTTTTTTAACTTAAATATATAATGATTTATGTTTCAAAAACTGTGTGTAATTCTGTAACTCGAGAAAGAGAGGACAAATCTTGAGACTAAATTGCACAAGAAGTAAGAGATAATTTTATTTCTGGAAGGGAAAAAGATAAAAAAAACCCTCAAGTGCATATAGTTAGATATACACACATGGCTAAGCTAGTTAAATCGTATGTAAATTAACTTAATATAGTTATACATTTAGTGAGAAACTAAGTGCTTTCCCCAAAGATATTTTTATTGAAGAGACATACATTACACAACATTATTTCTTTGAAAGTTACTTATTTACTTAATCTTATTTTCAGTACAATGCCCGCTTAAATTAGTTTATAATTCCACACCGAACTAAGTTATTGGAGGATATTGTAATGGGCCGCAATGCCGCTCCATCTGTGTCCTTCTGTTAAGTTTTGGAGAATGCCTCATAAACTGTTCATATTTTTGTTTCATTTTTATGTTCTGTCAGTTTCACTGATATAATTACTGTATTGTATAATATATTGTATTTATTGTTATTTTATAATTTTAGGAAGAAGCTGGCGGTAACGCTGGTCTCTGTGGTAATATATTACCCCCTACTCTCTACTCTACAGGTCAATACTTAACAGTTCATTTTAGGTAAGACAATATTATTATTATTGCTTAAATCAGTCAGATGTTTATTTTAAGGTAGAAACTAGCTAATCCATTTCACGCTTTGTCTTAATTAAAGCTGTATTTCAACCTTGTCTTAAAGCTGTGTTTTACACCTTGCGTCAAAGGCTCAATGTACCACTCTTGTTGTAACAGAATAATATGTCCCAATCTTTATTCTGGTCAACAAATTGTACTATTTTACAGTATTCCAATTAATTGATGATACAAATTTCATCTTAACACACCTAATTTAAAAAATTGGAAAAATTCAACTAAATTATTTGAAAAGCCTGACGTAAAGCTTTTCAAATGTGACTTGGATTAAAAAATATTTTTGAACCCTTTGGATAAGTAAAATAGGATTTAATGGATAATTTACACAACAGGTAGGACACTAACACATCTAGTACTTAGAATAAGGCTATTTTTTATTTTCTGGAGCTGTCAAGCCAGCAAGAGTGTTATTGTCCCTTTAAAGCAATCATCATTTTTTGTTTTTAGTCCATTAAACATTTCTTTTTTAGCCGAAAAAAGGTTGTCTTTTGCGGATATACATATATACAGTTACAATGTACTGGAATATATTCCGTTAAACCCTATTTCATTTCATTTCAAAGGAATACATTCAGTTTAAGAAACAACTAACAAACTAGTTTTTTTTTGAAAACCATAGAGTATTTTCTTCTGAGAAATACCATTTCTATAATGTAATTTACAGCATGCTAGAGAGCTTTTCTCAATTCTATGCATATATTATCATGAAACCTTTAACATGATTATGGTATATGGCAATGGACAGCGCCAAAAAGAATTAAGAATATTTTTATTAGCGTGTCCCGAGGTCACCTTTCTAATTTGTGACACATTGCTGGGTTTAATGATTTTAAATTGAAACGGAAATCAGTGTCAATCCAATATTCAGTAATTCAAGACAGGAATTGGACAAATTATTTAATTAACTAAATAGCCCTTGCTACGTTAATAAGATGAGTTGAACAGGAAATATGTATTTTATTTCCTGAATTAACTAAATTACACTTTTACTGTGTGTGGAAACTGTCGTAAAAAAAAAAAGTAGATAAACACATGTCTGGATTTCGAGTTGACAAGTTGTTTCGAGAACGCAATCACAGATAGATTGGTTTGCGACCAGAATTTTTTGATTACTTGGGCACCGCTGTCTGTGTCTGAGCTATATTTCTCTGGTTACCATCCGGAAATGTACATGGAAATACCTGAGGCCATCGACCAGTGATGAATTAAGAACAATGCCATCATGGCAGCTGAATTAAGGTCAGAGGAGATGCAAATGAATCTAATAGACACAAGTTATCAGGATGGGTTATTGGTTTTAACTTGACAATAAACATCTTTTATTAAGGGAAATATTAATATAGACGTCTCTGTATTGTTACTCAATAATAAAGAGGCTTGTCACTACATGTAACATCCAGACTGTCTAGACTTGAACATCACTAATTGGAAGAAAAATAGCCGACTTTAGTGGTCATACTTTATATATAACTAAGCTATTTGTGGTAATTTACTACCAGATTAGAACATTTAATATATTCCCATATTCCCTTTCTTCTGATGTTTAAAAGAATGAATCGTTAGAAAGGAGAATTTTGGAACAGTTGTAGAGAGAGAAAGAGAAAAATGGAGTTCAACGTCCACTCAACACAGACTAAGTCATTTCGGGACTAACATATGGTTTTTAATTTTATTTCAATAATTTGCTTGCGCATAGGGGTCTTTAGCAGTGGGAGGAAACCGGAGGACCCGGAGAAAACCCACAAGTTTGGAAGGAAACCCTACTCATTGTCACGTACAACCAGGGATTCGAAACCACGCCAGTTGACACAATGACAGGCCTTATGATATAGCGTGCACATGCTAACCATTCGGCCGTCCAACCCCCCTTGGTACAGTTGTGGCACTCAGTCTGTTTTTTTTTCTGACTGCTCAGAATGCATGTGCATTGGGGTCTTTTGCAGCAGGAGGCAACCAGAGGACTCGGAGAAAAAACATGAGGTTGGGCAGGTGACATGTGCGACCATATTCCTTGTCATGTACAGGTATGGGATTGAATCACACCTCTTGACTGAATGACAGATCTTTTGATATAAGACACACAAATTGCAATGGATTTAGGAAACATATATTTTATTTCTTTTTTAATTAAGTGGCATAACTTCTTTAAGTGGCATAACTTCTTTAAGTGGCATTTAGTAATTGAACAGTAACACAATAACACTTTTTATGGAATAACAATTACTGGTTTATTAACATGCAATGTTTCGACGGTGATACCCACGTCTTTATTAAGCAAATGATAACACATACATGTACATGTACATGTATGTAAAAAAACTTAAGTATTTATGTTATTACACTTTAGTATTTCAATAAATCTATTTTTAGATCCGTCCATCATTTTTCATGACTTGCACAGACAGATTATAGTTTGATTACCAAATTCTCAAGGATTAATCACTTATTTACTCATGTCAAACATTTTAATTCACTTCTCTCAAAATAATCAGTTGACTCAGGTTAAGTTAAGTAAGCGCTTTTTATAGGACTTCATTCAGATGTCAAAACCTACACATGTCAATTTTGTACCTATTTCTCACCCGTTTCATTCATCTAAAGTGAAAATAAAAAATGCACCTTTAGATGTTCACTGAGTGTAAATAAACATTATATATATAGTCTTATCGTCTTACTTTATGAGTTTTTATGCGTCAACATATAGCTCATTTGTCTGGTGGGGGCTGGAAACTTGGTTGGTTAAGTGATCTAACAAGGTAGTGGGGTTTCCCCTGCCCCCACCCCACCTCGTGGGTTTTCTCTGGGTCGTCCGGTTTCCTCCCACTACTAAAGACCCCTACGTGCAAACGTTGTACCATATGTTAGTCACAAAATGACCTAGTTTGTGTCCAGTGAACATTAAACCCAATTTCTCACTCTATCTGTCATTTGTTCATAGACAAAGAAACCTTTTGATTTTCACCCTTGTCTGTTGATCAATGTCAGAGTTATGGCCCTTGATCACTTACCGGTAGGCTAATGTTATCTTCCAATTGACTTGATGCACAATGTTTATGTTCATGGGAAGTCTATGATTTCTAATAACTCAAACAGCTGAAATTATCATCTGAGTTGAGGGTTGGGTGACCGAATGGTTAAAGCGTTGTGTCATAAGGCCTATCATTGAGTCAAGTGACATAGTTTCGATTCACAAGGAAAATGGTTACCTGTTCAGCCCCGTGAGTTTTCTCTGAGTTCTCAGGTTTTTTCCCACTGCTAAATAGTCGATCTGGATGACTAGACCACACCGGGAACCAAGCTTGTAAAAATCTATAGGTTCTTCTCAGTCTACGTTGGGCTTGAGAGTTCTATTAGTGTTATGACGAAGAAGAAGCCTACCAAATTTGAATTATTTCTCTTAAAAACTTGATGGGTTGTTGTTCTTGATCAGTTTTTAGTGTCTTATAAATAAATAAATACTCCCATTAACTTTAAGATAATAAAATATGACAATCTTTATTGGCTCTTGGTTGACTTACATGTTGATGCAGTTGGCCAGTGTTTTATTTCCTGGCAAACTATCTTTTCAGAATTGTTTAAATTAAATAAATATTTTATATTATTATACAGGGGAATAAATATTATACAATAAGTCTAGCTGTCTTCGTATGTCATACAGGTTTTTGTTTAAATTGTAATTGAAATTCTACAGTGTTTAGCCTAGTACAAAGGTGTCAGATTATAAGTCGAGAATAATCTATTTGAATTTAAATTAATTTTTTTTTTACAGATAAATTTAAGAAGTAATTGAAAGATGATAGCTTATTTAACCGGATAAAAGACTTTTTCCTTTATTATATAATATATTCATAAATTTAATTTTAGGCAATACAACATATACACATAGGCGTACGGGGAAATTTTTTACTGGGGGGGGGGGGGGGCGGTGGTGGTTGGTGCCCCAAAAATGTCTTTAGGTTCTTAGTATGTTACATACATGTAATAATCATAATATCTCTTTTGCGATGAATAAGTTCTTAATTTCTAAATCATCAATAAAAGAGAACTAAATTTTATTTACTTGTAATATACACAACTAAAAACAGTTGTTTATGTAACTGTAATTTGTGGCTTACTGTACTCCAAACAATAGAGGGTTTGAGTCTTAAGATTTCTATTTAATTGCCTAACTATAGACACTCTGAATTTAAATTCGCTGTTAAATTGGACGCATTCAAGAACACAATATTTTTTAGACAACTTTTACAAAGTACAATTGTGTGCCCAAATTTTCCCAGCATTTGGAGCCCAAAATGGGGGGCCCCCCCCCCCCCAGCCCCCCCAGCTCGTACGCCAATGCATATACATGTGGTTTAACTAAATAGTAACAAAAAAATTTTGCCGTATATAAGCTCTTTGAAAGTCCTTATCCTTTAGTAATGAATAATTATTAGTTTGCCTGGGAAAGTTGGATTTATATTAGTAGACAGACACTGAGAGTGAGGTGGTTTAACGTCCACCCAACCAGGTTATTTGGGAATTAACATATTGTACAATTTTATTTCATTAATTTGTTGCATGTAGGGGTCTTTAGCAGTGAGATGAAACCAGAGGACCCAGAGAAAACCCACAAGGTTAGGCAAGCTACGCTACTTGTCACACACATGTGTTTCACTGAAACCACACCACTGACTTGACACAATGAGAGACAGTGATCTAAAGCGCATATGTTCGACCACTGGTCCAACCAATCCCCCTAAATACAGACACGTAGAATAAAATTTGTTTATTTTGTTAACTAATTTCATATAATTTTCTGTACAATGTAGTGCCTTATTAGGAATTGGGAGGCGGGGGTGGGTGGTTGGGGCAGGGGTGGTTGAATAGGTTAACACATCTGTTTTGGATTATAAGGTCTGTCATGAGTCAAGTGGCCTGGTTTCCACTCC